TCAAACAGCTCCATTGTGTGTGCGTTTTCTTTGGTGCGCGGCTTTTGTTGTAGGACAACTTTTATTATACGTGTGATGATGCATGCAAGATGACAGCGCTGTGGACACTGCTGAAGATGAAGTGAACCACCCTCCCGTTGTGATCCCACCACTGGTGCTGTTTATGCAGTTTAAGGCCCACCCTACACGGGGGGAAAGACAGCTCAAACGACGCTTGTCATAATCTCTTGTCGTCTTAAATGGCTGACAAACATCAGACTGGTTTTAACGGTGGTGCATCAGAGAGGATCCTCGTCTGAGGGGCTTTTTTTTTTTTTTTTACACGTTAGACGTGAAACCGACAGGAGAGAGAAGGGACCACTGCTGCGATCAGAACCACGGATGTACTGATGCAAATAAAAGTGGTCCAGAATCAGCACTAGAGAAACTCTATAAACAGGATAAACAAAAATAATTTTAGAGTAGGATCAAAACAGTTCAGTATTTCAATTCTATTCAGTTTATTTATATAGCGCCAATTCACAACACATCTCGCCATTTCAAGGCACTTTACAGAGACAATTCAGCCAGATCATACAGCCGAAATGAGTCCAAGTTTTCTATCTAAGAAAAATCTGGTTATTGCATGGAGTCATTGACTCGAAGGCAAACCCTCACACCAAGCATGCATGGAGCGACAGTGGAGAGGAAAACTCCCTTTTAACAGGAAGAAACCTCCATCAGAACCAGACTCAGTTTGAGCGGCCATCTGCCGAGGCCGACTGGGGTTCAAGGAGAAAGAAGCGAACCAGAAAGAACATGAAAGCTAATGAAAACCAAAAAGTAATAAAAAAAAAACCTTGTTTAAAACTGATTTAATTATGAAAACGTAGAAAACTGTTTGCCTGGGAAGAGGTCTGTCCTTCAGAGGCCTGTCCTTCAGAGGCTTCCTTTTTTATCATGAATGTTTGTCATTGAGGTCTACTGCCAGTTGCGTATTAAAGTCTACAATGCTTGTCTTGTAGTGTCTTTAACCTTCCTTTTAACAAAATTACTCTGTAGAGATTTTCTATGCGACTGAATTTAGGCAACTTTGTTGGACCATAAAGCACAGTGATGCCATTGCCATTAAAACAGATTACATTACTTTTTAGTTTCAACTAAAAAGAAAAATTTGAGTACCCAGAATAACAGTCCAGATCTGTTATTCTGGGACAGACAATTCCTATACTGTCTCAGGTTCACACTCAAGGAACGGGACATGTCCATGTCCTGGATGAACAAGTCTGGTGGTGCAGGTGGTACGGACTCTGGTCACGTTCAGGACCTTCTTCAAACCCTTATATCTGTTTTCTTCGAAAGCCCTTAAGACTGCAAGTGTCAGTTTTTCTTTCCATCCAACTTTCCATTATTTGGTTGCACACAGAGCTCTTTTACTATGTGTAGAGGACTTCAGTCACTGAATGCTTGGCAACTGTCAAGTCAGCATGTCATCCTCAGATTACAAAGACTGTTAGATTACTGTAAACCTTCTTCTGTAATAAATTTTCATATAAAACATGTTTGGCTACAAGGTGGAGCAGTGGGTAGCACTGCTGCCTTGCAAAAAGAAGGGTTTGATTCGCAGCCCGGGGTCTTTCTGCATGGAGTGTGCATGTTCTCCCTGTGCATGCATGGGTTCTCTCCGGGTACTCCTGCTTCCCCCCACAATTAAAAAACATGACTGTTAAATTAATCGGCTTCTCTATATTGTCCTTAGGTGTGAGTGGTTGTTTGTCCTGTTTGTCTCTGTGTTGCAGTGTGATGGACTGGCGACCTGTCCAGGGTGTATCCCGCCTCTTACCCGTTGACAGCTGGAGATAGGCACCAGCATCCATGGCGACCCCAGTTGGGACAAGCATGATGGAAAATGGATGGATGAAACATGTTTCCCTTTATGAAATGGAAACTTAAATGGACATTTTTCAGTATATTTCAATACTTTAATACTCTAACAGGACAGCCAGTTTTAGCATGCATAAAAAAAGCTGAGATCAGCTTTCTGAAACAAACCGAAGAATAAAATTTAAAATGGAAAAAAACAATATATATATATATATTTCCCAGACATCAAATAAATGATTACCCCACCCTCATCCGGTGGTGTCTGTATGGAAGACACAGCCCTTCCAGTCACTTAAGGAGGGTTAACACCCGTCTAGATTAAATATTAAAAGGTGTCTGTACCTGCTGCAATTGTTGCCCTTTGGAATAAGATATAACCTATTTTTGACAAGTTTTCATCCTCAGCTTTCTGCAGTGAGACGCTTTTCGAAAACCAAATCAGCCAATAGAGAAACTGATAGTAAGGCGTATGTGCGAGGGGTGATGAATAATCTGGCTTATATTCCAATGATACACGTCACTCAGTAGGAGAGATGGAGAAAGAGGACAGAGAAAGAAATGTAAGGAGAAGGAAAATAAAAGTGGGAGAATGAGGAAAAAGAGGTGAGACGATAGGCGACGTCTGCCACATGACAGTGCTCCTGTTTAAATAATAAACAGAAAAAAGGGTCTCTAAACAAATCGTTATCTCTCCACCTCCATGCGTTTCCCCCGCCTTCGCTCTACCCCTTCCTGCCTACATTGAAAAATAAAAATAAAAAAATTATTTAATGCCATTTCTTAATGAACATAATAGCTCGGTGCTAATAATGAAAAGAAAATAAAAACATCTAAAAACGCGGAGGGGCCCCTGAGTTGTCGCCAGCGCTCAATTATTTCCTTGTCAAGTGGGTCTGTTTTTAATGAGGCCCTGTGGGACTGACGTCTGTCAGTCAGCGCTGACTTTTTGACACCATTACAACTTCAAATAGAAGCCGCCGCCACGCTGCCTTCCACCGCTCGCTTGCTAGCTACCGCTCATCTGACAGGCTGGGAGGGAAGGGAGGGGAGGAAAGGTGGCAGAAGAGGTAGTGGTGGGGGGAACAGAGCACATCGGCACATACTGTACAGGCTTCACACACAGTGCTTTTAGTCTGAGTGAAAGCACAGTCACGGAGGGTCATTATCAGACAAGGTTTGTCAAACTGCCTGGGAATCCGACCCCCTCCCTCATTTCCTCTTCCTAGTCCACTTCCTTTATTTCCCCTTCCTCATCTCTACACTTTAATGATAAGTCTCTATGGGTCGGCCCCACGCGGGACGGTCACAAGGACGGTATTTTGTCAGTGGTTAATTTGGGGCTTTGAAGGAGACGGCGATGCGGCGGATGGTGAGGCCTGTGAAACGGAGGCCGTTGGTGGAGGGAGTTTCCCCCCCTTATATCTTAGAAATGACGAATACGGCCCTGAAACAGAATATTAAATGTTCTCACAGGGAAGCCACCACAAAAAAAGTCTCACCAGTGGGTGAGTGCGCTTACATATATGATGCCTTGCAAAAATATTCATACGTTTCTGCTTTTTTTTTACCCCCAGTTTTAATCCTACATGTGTTTTAGTAGGATCGCAAAAACACAAATGAAAGTAAAGTGTGCATGTTTATTTATTTTTAGAATATGTAAAAAAAAAACCCTGGAAACTTTTATTTTTAATTATTCAACCGCTTTTAGTCAATCCACCCAAAAATAAAATCTAAATAGAGGTCCTCTGTCATTTATTCTCAGATGTAAAGGGAACATTAATGAACTAATAACATTGTAAAAACTAAACAAAGCTCAGGAATGAGATGTAAAGCAGATTAAGGTTATAGAACCACACCTACTGCTTTGAAAATCTCACAGAAAAAATGTAAAATGTACAGAATGACACATCCCCTAGCCTCCAAAGACATGGCTCTTCATAGCTAAACTGAACAGACAAGGAGGGAATTAATCTGAGAGTCAGCCAAGATGTCGGTGCTAAAAATCTAAAAATCCACAACTTTGGTCGAAGAGCCTGTGAACAGAGGAAATAAAATGACCAAAAAAAAAAAAAAAACAAATCTGCAAATAAATAGCTAAGATGATGCTCTGGTCTGACAGGACTACATGTAGACCTTTTTACTTTGTAGAGGTAAACCAGCAATCCACATCACTCTCTGGGTGACCACTATAACATACGGCGATGGCAGTATCATGCAATGGGAGATACAATTTTTTGTTTAAAGATTTCCAAACAATTTTAAAAGTTGTACTACTACTTAGTTTATATGCAAACATGCAAAATTGTTAGAGCACCATGAACACATTTTCCAAACTGTTTTACAGGGTGGTGGCAGCTAGCCTGGGTGCCAGTCCGAACTTAGTCCCGCCCACAAAGTTTGAGGTCGGGAAGTTCGGTCTGGCTCTGCTCCATAGTAGCGCGAGTATTATCGCCCACTGTCAGGCGATCCAATCAAATTGTCAGGGCGGGCTTTATACGATGATGGACAGATGACCAACAGTAACGTAATCAACCACGTGACCTATGCGCGCTTGGGTGACAACAACAATGGCTGCCGCTGGAGAGTTTAGGTGAGTAGATTCTGCTTTAGGTCTGTTCTAGAAGATATCGACAGCAAATTAATTTTAAAAGAGGAACAGAGAAACGCGATCAAGTCTCATCTTCTTATTCTAGGCGTGAAACTGCACGCTTTGATTTTTGTGGACAACAACTATGCCTCGCTTAACATACGTCACGCACTCCGTTGCTCTTATTGGTTGTAGGTCTGTCCAATTGAGTGCAGAGGCATTTTTTTTCCTGGTTCGTTCGAAACACGCCCCATAATCACAGCTCTATGGAGCAGTATCAGACTCATATTCTGACTAGAATTGAGTAGGACTACGTTAGGCTAGGTGGCAGCATCATGTTCTGGGAAAGCTATGTCTTCAACAAGGACTAGTGGCATGTACACCAATATATATATATATATACTGTATATATATATATATATAAACATATATTCCTTCCATTTTGCAATTATTGTATAGTTTGTGGGCCCATGTCATTAAATTCTTCAAAAGCATTAAATTTACTCGCTGTACTGTGACCAAACAAATGAAATGAAAAAATTCACATAAATAGTTGTTTAAGGCTACTTTAATAAAACTTCTCTTAAGTTTGGATTTAAATAAAACCCCAAAGAACAACACGAGAGAACAAACCTGCAACCATTTTATATAATCAGTATGCATATTGACAAAAAGAAACATGTATTGTGACGGCCCTAAGAACATTAAATGAAATACAGAGAACAAACTTTACAGGTTGTAAAACAGGGGAAATTCATTTACAGAGGGAAAATAAAAACCTCAAACAAAACTACAAACCAACACTTTTTGTTTTTGGTCCTGAAGTGTAACTTATGTAAATTCAAAACAAAATAAATCACACAGCTCTATTACAGACATTTAAATCAAAACTTCTGCGTTCTTAAATAAATAGTAACAGAATCACCTGCAATGAAAGCAAAGACACTATACATGACTTCCATTTAGATGTTAGTACATACATCTATGTGCTGTACATATAGGCTATAAGATCAAACAAGGAAAGTTAAGAAGTCCAAAGAAATTAATGATGTTTATTTTGGGGATAAAAATGAACCAAATAGGGATACTTCTGTGTTACCCTTAAATATTCTTAAATTTTTCTGTCTATCTTAAAAAGGCGACACATCTGTTCTTGAATGCAAGCAGCGTTCTTCCAAATAAACCAAATTATATTAGATTTTTATTGTAAGAACAAACTTCTGACTTGAACTTAGTTGATTTCAATGCTTCATGCATCTCACATATAGTCTGAGGGCCTCGAGCACATAACTCTAAACATGCGTGTGCAGAGCTTTAGTTTTTAACGCAGACCTAAACAGATGAGAAACACTTAATGCAGACTTTTGTATTTGCTTCAAGCTCCAACACAAGATAGGCTGTGAATCTACATGGAGGATATGAAAAGTTTTAGTCATTCCCCACCTCTGCTGTCCCAAGAGAAGGGGGCAAAGGGGGTGTGGGGGGACACGCCTGAGTACAAAGAGAAAGAAAGTAAAGCGAAAAGTGGAGAAAGGAGTAAAAACAGAAGGAAAAACGGAAAGTCGAGCAGGAAAAAAGCTCCCTGTCAGGTTTAGGAAACTATGATTCATGGGTACCATTTGTCCTAATTACAGCAGGACAACGCTTTTGTCGCTATTAATCATGGATGTGTGTGTGTTTATATTCGTGTTGAGCGGAAAGAAGGGAAGGTGGGGAGTGTTGGTATACTGGTGTACGGCCGAGATCAGTGCCTCCGCACATTTAAATAGATGGCCAGGATGATGGTAAGAAGGATGAAGGCTCCGAGGACAAAGACCAGGACGCGATTCTGGATGATCCTGTGGAGAGAAAGACGGGGAAATTAACGCAAGTCTCAAAGTTTCAACAGAAGAGCAAACACTTAAAACAGTCACATGTTTATGAGGGATTTAAATGACCAGTAATTATCTTATTGTGTTAAATAGTAAGCATGAAGTCAGGATACATGGTATTTATCACTCTGTGGTCACTGGTTAACAGTTTTAAAACCTGCAAAATGTGAAAAAAAAAGAAGAAATCTGATGTGTTTACTCTTGTGTAGTGTCTGTAAAAAGGCCACACTAATGTGTGCACGCTTCCAAAACAAATCAAAACAATTCTAAACAAAAGTGACAGAGGAGTTTATACAAACTGCAAACTGCCTCTAAAACTTCAGCTGCACAGTAAAGTGGAAAAAGAGGCTCAGGAGTTTCCTGGAGGTAATAAAAATCACTGAATTACTGAAGGAATTTACCATAAAACAACTCTGTCTTCTGCGCTATAAAAACTGTCCCATTTTTACTAAACTACGCTGGCTGGGAACCAACGAAACACAACGGGAGGGAAGAAAGAAAAACATGCTAAATTTGAGCTTTATTATCTAAGTAACGTTGGCTTCTTTTGGTATTCTAACCACCACAGCTCTTTTTCCACAATCTGTAAAATGATCGCTTTGAATGCATATTTGATGCTCAACTTCATCTTAAATTAAAACCTTTATTTTTCATTGCATTTCTACATTCCTCCTGCATTTAAAAGTAAATTAGGAAGAAGTGAGCAGCTCACAGCATCTATGGAGCAACCTGGAGCTGCTCTGGGACCCAGAGTGGCAGTCTGGGGTTTAAACCGGGTACCTGGAGCCTTTTCAGAACAAAAGCGCTTTAAACTAACCTTTACTTTGAAGGGATGCATGCTTATTGTTACCCTTTGCTCTGAAATAAAATCTAGTACAAACAATTGCGTAGTCTAGTAAATATGGATCATCTTTTTTAGAAATGAATCCCAGTATTAATATATATGTGCTTTGAAAGCCTTTGCTCTAGAACTTTGGAGAAGTTTAGCCTATCTGGAGGAGATCTTAAGCTTGAGCAGGACAGTCTGTCGAGATGGCAGCTATTCGTCATGCTCTCCAATCATTTAACCTTTGCAGAGGTCTACTTTCATTGCTGAAACACAGTGTTGGTGGCATCGTGGTGTGGGATTGCTTTTTTTGTAATCAAAAAACATGTTTGGTTCACCTCATAATAATGTGATACTTTCTGTTGGTTTATCTACTGTATAGCTGAGATGTGACCAAATGCGAAAAACGGTGAAGGGGTGCGAATTAGGGCTGCAACTAACGATTATTTTGCAAATCGATTAATGTGTTGAGTATTTGTTCGAATAATAATCAGATGGCCAAAGAATCCTTAAAGAGGATTTTTTACAAAATTAGACCTGTTGAAACCAAAAATATTCCACTTGAGGAGTTCTGGATAGATCATATTGGCTGCGTCTCAATTCGCAGGCTGCGTACTTGGTAGGACGCATTTTGAGGCCGGTGACGTCACAACGCTGCGCGGAGGCCGTCCCATTTGGCAAAAATTCTGAGGACGCTTAAAATGCAGCCTTAAAATGCGTCCTCCTTTTCCCCGAATTCTGAGGACGCATCGCTACCGTCCTTAGTGGCCTCGCCTCCCACTAGATTTCCCGAGGTGCTTTGCGCGCTTCTTTTTTTTTTTTTAGTAGTTGAAGAAGAAGAAGAAAGTCGGATTTTCTTCAAGTTACGGACAACCGAAAGCAGCAGCAGCGCCGACAGTAGTGCGGAGAACACCTTTATATGTAAGTAGTGTGTTTTTTTTTAATGAACATCTATTAAAATACATGACGGTAACGGAGCCACCGGAATATGTAGGAGCAGCTAAAGCTAAAGCTAAGAGCTAACCTGTTGATACGTGATGTTCATCAACAATTAAAAGCCTTCATACAAATGTCACTATTTTTTATTTTAACCTACATCTTACTGTACTGATAGCCGTATCCCTCACTAATCAGATCTGTTTATTCTCAAACAGTTTATTACAAAGGATTAGAGCTGTTAAAGCTTAATGCAGCTGAAGAAATAACATTAGTCCAGCTGTACTGGGCTGTTAATACTGCAAACGTTTTGTTTTAATACTCAATAACGTATAGTTTATTTACAGTACAGTATAATAAGGTTTAAAGTATAATTCGCTTGAAGAACAATACAGGCATAATTATACAGAACAGTTATTTTGCCTGTTGACTTAACAGAAATATGCTTTACATGTCATTTTGTTCCAGGGAGCAGACAGAGGAGTGGATAAAATGACCACCTTATCATCGGGGCCAAAAATACTGCTGCAGGCGGATGGAGGGAAGAGTTGAGGCAGAATTCCATCTACATGTTGCATTTCTATGTAAAAGTCACACAAGTTAAAAGAAGTCCTGTTCAAACACCAACATACAAATATAATCTTTTGATCACATCAAATGATGCTCAGATGCCACTTTTTGTAAATCTCATATTTGTGATAGAAGTGATCCTTGTGTGGGACAACTTAAAAAAAAAAAATACAAAGTATGTTCAGGTTTGGATAATGTAATGAAACACACACACACACCTATATATGTATGTGTGTGTAGGGAAATTACATCTTTCATTTATTATATTCATGTTAATTTACACTTTGAGTAAGCTTGAAAAAGTAATCTCCAGGTTACCATTCCAAAGTCTTTTTCTGTAGAATTTCATCAATCCGTCCAAATCATGAAACATTCCTTTTTTCTAGCTTTAAAGAAACACTATAGAAAATAGCATCTGTTGATAAAAATAGTTTTCCTCTACTTTAGGAATGCAAAGATCATTGGACAGGGCAGGGGGTCAGTGGGAATCCTACTGCTGCCACCTGGCCCTGGTTTGTCCTCATGGTTGAGGTATTAGGACAGAGGCCCTCTATTACCCCACCTGTCCTAATTGCCTCCATCCCTGAGGAAACACCAGGGCCAGGTGCTGCAGAGGCTGAGCAGCATCAGGGTGACGATGAGGAAGAGAATGAGGATGAGGGAGGAGGAAGAGAAGAAGTAATGGTGGATTTAATCAGGGAGGATATCAGATGGCAGAGGGAGGCGGGAAAGGATGGACAGATTATTTCATTTATTGGAGAGGATGGTGGACAGAGGTTATTATTTTTTTTTTGGTGTTTTTTTTAACAAGTTGAAGTTCTGTGTTGCTGTTATGGTTAAATTGAATTATTAAATTGTTTATAAAAGTTATTGCTGTCGGTGTGTTCTTAAAGTCTTTTAACCTTTTTACATTATCTGTTTCATCACTTTGTAATTTAAGTAAACTTAGAACAACTTCTCAGTGACATCAGTTTATTTTTAGAGAAGCAAGTATTTACAATAAACTATTAAACATTTTTAACTATTGACATTAGATTTTAAAATTAACTACTACAACTATTTACAGAAGATATACAGTAAATATTATTAGAGAACATATATATATATATAATTGTGACTGAGCAGGAGTCCCTGGTGGTGCTGCTGGACTGGATGGGATGCCACACAGATGTCCTTGGAGTCTTCTGACTGCGAGTGGGACATCATCTGGGGGGTGGGGGGGATGCCTCTCTCCACTGCTGACCCAATCGATGGCTGCCATGTTACTAAAAATGTTCAAGAAGACGCAGAAAATAATGACTTTACTAAAACTGTTTATAACCCTGAAATGAGAACAGCTAAAATGTGATTCTACTTGCCATCTAAATGTAACGGTGGTCAGGTAGACGCTCCTCCAAGGCAGACACCTCAGCAGACAGCTGGTCCCTCCAGTGAGCACCACTGACTGCCTCCTACACCTTCTCCCCTCCTCATCCTCTGGCATGTAGTCCTGCTCTTCATCCTCTGGGGCTGTTATGACCTGTAGAAAAAAAAAGACAAAAATATTTATTTTTATTCAGTCATCTATCTTTTTTTCCTTGTCTTTATTACATGATTTATTAGAAATTCCATTTTACTTCATCTAGATCCACTAACTTATTTTTTTCGTTTTTATATTTAGATTTTTTTTTCCTGTATTATGTTTATATATATATATATATAAAATTGCAAATAAAATCAGGCAGTAAGGGGATAATAATTTAGACAAAAATTATTTATTTCTCAACAGTTTGGCTTCTCAACACAACATTAGTGATGGTGAAAGTAGTGATTTAAGTCAGTTATTTACAGGGTTTGTACACATTTAACTATTCAATTCAAATTACTAAACAAATAAATCACAAACTTACAAATAAATATAAAACTTTGATACTTAAACATATTCATCAATCTGCTGACAAGCGTTTATTTAATAACTGGTATATTCTGATCATTAGCAGGCCCCTGTGGGGTTAGAATAATAGCAGGTAGATCTTACCTCTCCACTGCGCTCTGCCAGCCTGAGAAAAATCAGCCGCAGGTTTTGCTGCCGCCGAAGCCGTCAAAGCGACTCTCCTCCTCCAATAACAAGTAAATAAAAAAAATAAAAATTTCCATATCTATTTTTTTGTTGTTTCTTTCCGTATTTCTCGAGCTGTCGGATTTTGTTTCGCGCTGTGTTTGGGGTAAACGTGACGACGTCGTGTCGCAACCAGGAAGTGCTCCAAAGGCTAGACCGTCCCATTTACCAACGGCTGAGCATCCTCCGGAGCAGCCTACCAAGTCTGGGTCCTCCGGAGGCTAGGTAGGCTGCGTCCTCGGAAGTACGCAGCCTGCGAATTGAGACGCAGCCATTGACAGATAAAATTTTTTTTTGACATTAAATCCAAAATTTTTATTTCTTACAATTTTGATGAAATTATAGTGGCTATATTATAATAAGTTGCTCTGTCAGCTACAGGCATATTTTAGAGTCTCTACTCTTCAGTTAAGGATTCATCAATTACTAAATAAGTTGACGATTATTTCAATAATAAATTAATCACGATTAGTCCGATTAGTTGTTTCTGCTCTTGTGCGAAAACTTTTTGAAGCATCTAAAAAACTAAGCCCAGAT